GGTAAATAGCAACCTTGCATGAGAGTTTTTTGTTTGTTTGTTTGTTTGTTTTTTACATGAGAGTTTTTGTTGTTATTTTCTCCAATCTAAAGATCTCATGTCTGCTCACCCACCACCACCAAGACTCTACGCTGTACGCTGGATTTGCTATGCTACACACCAAGCTACTCCCAGCTTCCCAATCTCCTCCCAGTCCACTACCTTCCAAGAAAGTAATTTTCAACACTACTCTTTTATCACATTGTTTTCTGCTCAGAAATTATGCACTGGTCTCTATTTGTCGTTACTCCAAGGCAAGACTTCCCATAATAACCCTGCCTAATCTCCCCTTCCCCTTCACTGTGCTGTTCCACTTGCCCTCACCCTTCTAATTTCCAACAGTGACCTCAACATATATAATCTGTATTCTAAAGTTAATTCATCTTCACACTCACTCAAGTGCCTTTACCATACTCCAAGAACCAACTGACAGGGAAAAAACACAATATTTATTTACAATTTATGTATCCAGCACTCTACATAAAATATTTCTAACCTCACAGCAACCTATTTTACAGACAACGAAACTGAGGCTCAAGATCTCAAGATCATATAACTAGCAATAAACTGTAATTCATCCTACTGTCTTTATAAAGCCCCTTTGGTCTCAGCACCTCGCCTGTGCCACTGTTAATTTAGCACAATGTTGTGTACCATTTTGTTTCCTAACTGTATCCTTGTCTTCCTCATCTCAGTGGTCAGGACCATGTAGTACCTTCACATCGCAGAGCATACAGTAGGTGCTAAATGAATACTTGTTGACTGATTTTATAAATGTTCACAGAGACTGATACCCAGTATTGAGCGTTTGACCATTTCTGGAGGCTTAGGACAGGAAAACATATTTATTCGAGGAGTGAAAAAAGAGCTATGACTGGCTGTGTTGAGCTTTGCCATCACTCCTGTGTCTTCACTCGTCCTCTCTAGAAAATGGGCTCAGGGAATTGGTAGCACTACATGAGCCCTCTGGGCTCTACTGAGCATGGGTTATTCATTTTTACCCCATATGTGATATAGCTGTTGTTCTAAGGACAGGTCCACACTCCTTTATCTGATAGCCTTGAGGGTGTATGTGTTTTAGAAATGAGAATTTTTCAGATTTTAGAGATTAAATAGAGTGCTTATGCTATATATTGTATAACTCCCTCTGCAGGGTATGAGTCAGCACCTAAAATCAGACACATTAGCTCCACATCCCATCAAGTGGAATAAAGATGACAGCCTCAAGTCAGGTTTTGCCACCAAATAATTTGCTGCAAGCTTAGGAGAAAACTTGGTTTTCAGAGCTTTTTGGATTTCAGGATTGTGAAAATTGTGATAAGGGATGTGAACTTGTTATTGAGATGTAGTGACTCATTTAATCTCTCAGCAGTTTGCAATGTTATACTTTTTTTTCCTTTCTTTTTCTTTTTTCTTTTCTTTTCTTTTTTTTTTTTTGGCTATGAAGAACAAGAGAAAGGTTGTACAACGTGCCCAAGGTCACATGACTAATAAGTGGCAGAGCCAGCATTTGAGCTTAGACTGTCTGACGCTAGAACAACTGCTTTTTACCACCCCAAGTACTGCCTTCCAAGAGGAACTTTGCAGGTTTCATGGACTGGTGATGTGACCTTGGACAACTGCCTTAGTGCCCTGGCCCCCAGGTTCCTCTGCCGTTGTTGCGAGGAAAGGTAGATGTCAGCTGGAGGCTTCTGCCCCACGAGAGCTAAATCAGAGGGACTGGAAGTCCCATCCTGCATTGCATAAAGCCTGCTCCAAGATTTCTGCAAAGTTCTGGAGGCTTATATTCTCACTGTCACAGTTGGCTTCAGCTTCTGCTAAATTAATTCACATTACGAATCATTATGAATCATCTCAGGATCTTGTTTTTGAATAGCAGGATGTAAACTCATGTGTGAAACTCAGCTCTTCCTCTCAAGCAGACAAATGTCTTTAGATTGTTTGAGATTTCTCCACCTTCTTAAAAGTGCTTTATTTAGTCCCCTCTCCCACTTCCATATTGCCCTGGCTTCTCCCTACCTGCTCCTTTTCCCCTCCTTTTTCCTTTCTTCCTTTGTCCTGCTCATTTCTCTGCCTCTTCTCTCCCTTCTCTCCTTCTTCCTCCTCAGAGCAAAACTAAATTCCTCTTTTTAGTCCTTCCTGCAATTCCTTCCTGCATTTACTCATTTTTTGTGACCTTGGTTTTTGATACTTATGCCTTCAAGGTATCATCTTCTCCCATTAAATTTTCTTACACAATGGCAGTTCTGAGTTCCTTGTCTTTTGCCCTCCCTTGATGTCCATCCTAAATGCTATCTCCTCCCTCTTCCCAACCCCCAGTCAATGGCATGTGTTTCTTGCTTAGCTACTTAAGCTTCATTGTGTGGTATGCAAATGTCATGCCTACCCTAAAGCTGAAACTTGTCTTAATTACCTTCAGTGCGTAGTCCCAAATTTTATTTTTAGTAGGTGTTCAGTAACTACTAGAATAAATGTGACGGGTTTACCAAAAGGTAGGAAGCCACTAATATATTCACTCAGTGATCATACAGTTAATAGAAATTAAAGTCTATAGCCGTATAATATTTGTCTTCATATTACTCTGAGTGGAGTTAAGTACCGGGGTTGAGATTTCAAAGACAACTGTAGTGCCTTAGTTGGGAAAATATATCCGATGATAGCCAGGAAAATGCATTATATAAATTCTCATCCCCAGTGAAATGTAATTCGGCCTAGATCAAAATACTTAAATAACTCAACCTTGATTATAAATTCTCACTAAACCCATAAATGAGAATCTAGGAGGCTTTTTCGCAACATAGGGTCAGTGGTGCTGAGTAAGCTCTAGATAAAAATTTTCTGGCAGAAGAGTTTTGTCACACCAGATATTACCAGCTTTAGGAAGCTTAACACATGGTAGGATCTCAACTATTTGCTGAATGAATGAATGCAGTAAAAAATATGGAGCACCTGGGTGGCTCAGTGGGTTAAAGCCTCTGTCTTCAGCTCCAGTCATGATCTCAGGGTCCTAGGATCGAGCCCCGCATCGGGCTCTCTGATTGGCGGGGAGCCTGCTTCCCCACCTCTCTCTGCCTGCTGCTCTGCCTATTTGTGATCTCTCTCTCTCTGTCTGTCAAATAAATAAATAAAATCTTAAAAAAAAAAATGTAGAAGACTGGGGCTCCTGGGTGTCTCAGTCAGTTAAGTGTCCAGGTCTTGATTTTGGCTCAGGTCATGATCTCAGAGCTGTGGGATGGAGGTCATGATCTCAGGGCTGTGGGATGGAGGTCATGATCTCAGGGCTGTGGGATGGAGCCCCACATTGGGCTCTGTGCTCAGTGCAAAGTCTGGTTGTCCCTCTTTGTCTGCACCTCCCCCCCACTCACACACACTCTCTTTCTTTACATAAATACATACATAAAATCCTAAAAAAAAAAAAAAAGAAAGAAAGAAAGAAAAAAGGACATGTAGAAGACCTACACCACTGGTGACACAGATTTTGAACACTGCCTGTCTTTACCTTTCTCCCTGGTCACATGCCCATTATAGGAGAAGGAGACCTGGATTCTAATTCATGCCCATTATAGGAGAAGGAGACCTGAGAGCTGAATTCTCTCAGCTCTCAACCCCTAAACCCCTATATGTGTGACCGTCAGCAAGTAACTTAACTGTTCTAGGCTTGGTTATATTATCCTAGTAAAAGTGAAAGCCTCGGGCCAAATGAATATGGTTGTCTTACAGAAGTAGTACAAGTGTGTGGAAACAAATACTCAAATTATGGTAGAGACGCATGACTAAAAATTCTCCCTGTGCCACACTCCCAGGTCGGTCTTCTCAAATAAAGTCCCTTTGGACCAATTCTGTCTTATTCCTCTAAATGCTACGTGTATGCCTCTAGTTCTTAATTTATCTACTCTAAGCAATACCATTTATCTTTGCACTCTTCAAGACAAAGAATTTAGTTTACTACTTTCCTCCTATATTAATTATATGTGTGAATATTTTAATGATTTATATCCATTCTGTTGAATAGACTAAAAGCGCTATTTCTTTTTTTAACCACTGTTTCTTAATCCGGCAATTTTAAGTAGTATCCTGACTCCCCACTAAGTGAATTAATGTTCCCTTCGCTTCCTTCCACCTCTCCTGTTCCTTTAATTTCCTAGCTTGTCAGTGAAATCATTATTTTTTTCACCAAAATCATAATTTTTATAATGTATGAAATTATATTTAAATTCTTTTGTAACTACAGTTGTCTTTAATGCTTGTTCTATAGGTTATTTCTGAAAATTGAAAGCTGCAATAAAGTATAATCATGTGAATTGTATTTACTGCAGACTGAGGCAGTGTGCTTAGATGTGCACAAGGAGTGGAGTGTGTGTCACCAAACCTGGGTGACTTCAAGAGGAACGCGAGCATCAAAGCCACGCTGATTTTCCCATTACACTCTGCATGTTTCTTGAAATCATTTTACAGTGTAGCTTGCTTCCTATTATGAAAGGCTTTCCTTTTATTTTATTTTATTTTTTAAAAATATTTTATTTGAGAGAGAGACAGTGAGAGAAAGCATGAGCAAGAAGGTCAGAGGGAGAAGCAGGCTCCCCGTGGAGCTGGGAACCTGATGTGGGACTTGATCCAGGGACTCCAGGATCATAACCTGAGCTGAAGGCAGTTGCTTAACCAACAGAGCCACCCAGGCACCCCAAGGCTTTCCTTTTAAAATATCCTCAGTGGGGCACCTGGGTGGCTCAGTGGGTTAAGCCTCTGCCTTTGGCTCAGGTCATGATCTCAGGGACCTGGGATCGAGCCCCGCATCGGGCTCTCTGCTGAGCAGGGAGCCTGCTTCCCCCTCTCTCTCTGCCTGCCTCTCTGCCTACTTGTGATCTATGCCTGTCAAATAAATAAATAAAATCTTTAATAAAATAAAATATCCTCAGAATTGAAACTTAGCGTGGTAGTTCTCAAATGTGGTTATACTTTGAAATCATCAAAGAAGCTGTTAAGAAACCCTGACATTTAGAGGATCCCACATCCAGCGTTTCTGATTTAACTGGGCTTGAGCGTGGCCTGAACATCTGGGTTTTTACATTTTGGGCAGATGATTTCAGTGAGTAGCCCAAGTTGAGGACCCTGACCATTAATGTCAGTCAAGTCTTGTGGAGGCAAAGGTCAGAAACTATACTGAGCCCTTTGGAAGCAGGAGCAGAAAGTAAAACCCGATACCAGCTGGAGGCTTCTAGAACATTTTATTTCTTTGTCGGCTACAGTTGCCTCCTTCATAACCACTGCATAATCATACCACTGCTACGATTGTTAAATAAGACACACTTCTCCACACTCAGCTTCTGAGGTGTTATATCTGGTGGTCGTTATTCAAATGGAGAGTTGGTTTGTTTTCAAGTCTGTTCTTTTCTTAGGTGGATACCCTGGGGCCTGGGGAGCTGGAGCTCTTGCAAGGAAATTGCATGAAATTTCGTCAGATCCTTGATATTCACACCTACGTTTCAGGAACTGATTTTTTTTTTTTTTCTGTTTTGTCTAAGAATTTAGCATGTGTTGTGTTTCCAGTAGTTCCGATCTGATTTTGTCTAATTTCTAGGGACAGTAGAAAAGTTGTTCTCTTTCAGCTCTCCCACCAAGGCACCCAGAAGAGCTGGAGGCCGGCTGGGGGGCCTGGGGGTCTAGTAGGTGTAGCAGGCTGTGAAGAGGGACTGAGTAGAAGTAGTGCCAGAAGAGCCTGTGTGAACATACTGTCCTTGGGCTGCCTGGCAGTTAGCCTAAAAAACAAGCATGAGAGAGGACATGGGGTTAGAGCAAAAGCAACCCTGTACTTGACCCTCCGGCTCTCGTTTGAAACCAGCTCCACCTGCATCTGGATTTTTCTCTCCTTACAGTGGTTTTGCTAAATATTGGTGCTGATAGCCTCCCTTGCCTTCTCTAATACATCATCTCCTTGTTTATCCCAGTTTTCTGAGCATCTCTCAGGCAAGCTGAAGTCTGTGTCAGTTACTGAGAAAGTTTTTTTTTAGTACCAACAGTATTGCAACAACGGTATTAGAGACTGAAGTTGAGAAACTTCTCATTGATACAGTGATAAGGGAATGGATGTTTCAAGTGGAGAAGCTTGCAGTTTGTTAGGAAATGGACCGGACGTTATGCCGAAGGATCAGGTAAGGTGCAGCCAGAGGTATGACACGGCAAATTTTTAAAAATTCTTTTTTAAAAAAATTTCCATTTTCCACCTATACTTGCCCACAGGATTATATCATTTTTTTGTTGTTGTAATCATACTATCTTGATTCCTTGTGTAAATTCCAATTAAAGGGGAGTTCAGAATTATAAAGCCCACCATAATAATAGCTGAGTGCCAGTCAATGGTACCATGTCTTCAAGTCGCTGTTACTATTATCTTGCTCTCTCTGGGACTTATTTCTATATCTACAGTGATTTTCAAAGCATGTTGCATGGACCTCAGCACTTCTTAGAAATGGAAATTCTCTGGTTTGACCCCAGACCTTCTCAATTAGAAACTCAGTATCCGGGTCCCAGAATCTGTTTTCACATGCCATCCAGGTGATTCAGACACATACTCAAGCTTGAGAACCACCATCCTAAATGAGCTCAGCTTCCCTTCTTTTGTGTGGATGACTCTTCCAACCTTACTTTCACAATCCCTCCCATCATATTAGCCACATCTAGCCACCCCTCATCGGCTATATCCCAGCACAGCCACAGCCAGTTCTCCATCCTAACAAAGTTAAGACACTACCTCTAACATCTTACACCTCTCTTATCCCCCTGAGATAGCTTCTAAGCTTCTCTGGGGTCTGCCTTCCTTTTAGTGCCTCATTGCCAAACTTCTGGCTACACTTGATTCCTCGCCCAGCCTCCTCTGTCATCAGCAAGCCGAATATGGCGATAGCTCAAATTCAGCACTCTTCTGTCTCCCTCTTGAACTTTTACACTTCTATTCTATTTCCCTTTTAGATTGCTCTAGATCTTCCTGCATGATTAAGAGAGCTATTAGGAAAATTCAGGATCTAAGTTAATGCATCTCAAACTCACTCTCATTTCAGCTGCACCTTGCCTGATACTTGGCCATTCTGTCTAGTGAGTCTCCTAGTGGACCAATTCAACAGCTATCCCGGGCTTCCCTGCAGTGAAGACGGAAATCTCGACTCCCTTATCCCCCTCAACAGATGCCCTTGACTGTAATCAACTGCCATATCCCTTCACCTCTTCAGACCTGAGTCCAAACCCAACTTTTTTTTCTTCTTTGACATGCCAATTTCATCTTTTTTCTCAGCCTTTATTCTGAATCTTTTTACAGTGTGTTATGACTGGCCCCCTTGAAACTTGTTTCTGTTTGTTCTCCGGATCCTTGGCATATCCTTATTATTACTGCTGCTTGTCCTAGTGGCTTTCTTCTACTTTTTCCTAAAATGAAAAGTGCTTCTCTTCCCTCTCAAGTGTCTCTGTGGAGATTGTCTACTGCCTACTGTCATCAACCATTCTCCCAGTGCAGATCATTTACAACTCTCCCCAGCCTCTACCTTCCTACTGAGCTCTCATGACAGCTTTTCAAATATCTAGTAGACACTATCTTGAGATATCATCATGGCCTAAAGAAAACAATGCTTCTCCAGGTAAGAAAGCCAGGCTCCTACTATCCACTTGATCAAGTAGGTAAGAAGTAGTAGCATCTTAGAGCTCCTGGGTGGCTCAGTCAGTTAAGTGTCTGACTCCTGATTTGGGCTCAGATCATGATTTCACATCGTGGGATCCAGCCCAGCACTCAATTCTGTGCTCGCCAGGGAGTCTGCTGGATATCCTCTCTCTCCCTCTTCCACTGCCCTTCTCCATACCTGCTCTTGTGCTCTCTTTCTCTCTCAAATAAATAAATAAAATCTTAAAAAAAAAAAAAAAAAGGAATAGTATCTTACCACGGCCCGCTTCATGAAAGCCTCCTGGGTTGCCTTCTTGTTGGCAGCCTTGCCACCCCAGGCAGCCAGTGCACTGGCCTGCAGGGCCCGTCCATAGGAGAAACTCAGTTTCCAAGGCTTTGGTAGAGGGCAAAGGTTGATAGCATTGAGGTTGAGTGTAGCATCCTCTTCACTCATGCCACCAGACAAGAAACAGATGCCTGGAAGAAGAGAAGCCATTGCACTCCATTCTTTCTCTACTCGATTTGCATGGAACTGGGTTAGAAAAACTAGTTTGCTTTTGCCAAGGTTAGCTGGGCTAAGGAGGGAAGGGCTTTTATAAATAAGGAGGGTGGTGAACTATTGAGAAAATCAATGGATTGTGTGCATTCGGACAGTCTCAGGCAATGTGGTGTCATGGAGTATGAGGGAAGCACTGGCCGCCTGTGAGATAGAGAGGTCTGTTTCCTGGATACAAGACTCCCAGGCCAACACCAATGCTGGTGGAACTCCTTCACGGGATAAGGCTAAGACTTCAAGTCAGAGAAGAAAGAAAGCTTTACCGGGAACAGCTGCGGGAACGGTCCGGTGGAGAGCTGTGACGGTGGCCATAGCCACTTGTTCCGGAGTATACTTTTTGGTGCAGGCGTGTCCAGCAGTCACCATGTTGGGCTTCAGCAGGGTGCCCTCCAGGTAAACGTGATGGTCATTCAGGGCCTTGTAGACAGCAGCCAGGACCTGAGGGACAAGACATCTAAAAGGTGAAACCCAGAGCCAGTCTGACCGTCCCTGACCTTAGCACTTCTAGGTTGCAGGGATGAGAGACAAAGGAATCCTCCTATGGGTTTGGCCAAAGTTTCCTAACCAGCCCCTAGTCCTCATCAGGACAACACACAGGCACCTGCAAGCCACAGCCATTGAGCATAGCCACACCGGCCTAGCCCCACCTCCCCTACTCTAACTGCTCACTGCAGGGACAGATGGCATGGGTCTGCTTCCAGGAGCCCCTTCACTCCTTCCTTCCCATCACTTCCTTTGGGCAATTGAGCCTGCCTTGGTTGAGCTAGCTGGGGACATCTAAATTGGCCTCTACTCTCCATCCCCATAGAAACTTGAGTAGTCATAAAAACATACATTTTAGAGACAGAAGCACTTTCAGACCTCATCTCAGTCCACCTACTTGTGCAAGTGGAGAAAGTGAAATCAGGTTGCACTGCAAATATGAACAAAGTACCTGCTAATTACATTTTGTCATGTGAGTCTCATCTTACTTTTAAATTTCTTTGTTTACATATAATGTAACTGATCCCAAAAGATAACAGGATTTAACCACAACCCCACAGCTGGGAATAAGGATTATCAAATCCAAGTCTCAGTACTGCAAATCCTGTGCTTTTTCCATGGGAAAATCCCATCATGCCGAAAGAGTAGAAGGTTTGATAAGTATCCCCTTACCTTCTCAGTGCTACATAATGATTCCAACTGAAGAATATTTCAGTATAACAGCTGATACATGTTAAGTAACAGCTCTTACCTAAAAATAAGATATTTCAACTGGAATTGGGACCTTTTTATTCAAGACTTTACCTTCTCAGTAACATATTGGCAGTGTTCCAAGTCATGGTCTCCATCAGGAATGACCTCTGGTTCAACAATGGGTACCAGCCCATTCTAAAAAGGAAAAAAGAGGAGATAAAGTGTGGCTCTGCTCACTGCAATCCTTTCCTTAGAAAATATTTGACAGTTGCAATTGGGATAAAATGAAACCCTTATAGAGGAATGCCAGTGCAAAGAAATTTAATGGCATCTCTACTGAGCATTTGTAGCTTAGCCAAAAAAGAGCTGTGAGGTTTAAAAATAAGAAGGAAAAAGTTCTCCTGGGAGTACGTAAAATAATGAAATCCTTAATTTCTATAGAAACAGATTCTTTTAGAGACTATTCTAGCTACCTCAGAACCCAACTATCATCCTTTTGGGGCAGTTAAATTTAAATCACTAAGAAGGATACCCCTTGTGTGGGTTAATTAAGGAATTAAGCACTGTGTACAGTTCTAATTGGGACTCTCCAGGAGCCCACATCTCAGGTAACCTCAACATAGTACCCACACAAGCAAATCCGACTTAACTGGGATCCCAGAGACACTGTGTTGGAAATTAGTGTCAGGTCACCATCCTCCAAGATATTCTTTGGATTGGGGCTAAATCAGAGCTATCACTCTCAAGCTAGGGATCTAAAAGGATCGTGTTTTAGATGTGATGGAGCATAGGTAAGCAATGACCTGCCCATATGGGGCTGGATCACTCTTAAGACCCAGCTTATAGAACTTTGGCAGAGGGCAGCCATTGATGGCATTGGCCTTGTGGGCTCGTAGCTGACTTGTGGGACCAAATCTTTCCCTACCACACTTTGCTATAGCAAAAACGGTGGAAAATGGCACCAGGATATATTGGTGAGATAAGGCTCATGTACTTATAGTAAAATTGGAAAGAGAGGTATAGTAAAATTGGAAAGAAGAAAGCTCTTTCTGACTGCTTTTCAGCCCAAGGGGAAGGCAGAGCACCTGCTGACAGATGCTGGCATAGCGGGCCAGGGCGTTGGCATTTTCCTGGATGGCAAGGCTGGATGGACACTGGTTGTCAATCCTCAGCACAGCACGCCATTTCCCAAAGTCAGCACCATCTCTCTTGTACTGAGCACAGCGCTCAGAGAGGCCATCAAGTCCTGCAAGTCAGAAAAGAGAGATGGGGCCACTGTCAAAGTGAAGGAGTTCTTCCTTGCCTTACTTTTCAGTCAGCAGAGCTTAAGTATTGAAAATATCCAGGTAAGTAAACATTAATCCCAATACTAAGCCCAAACTGGGGCTTTACACTTAAGGAGAAGAACAGAGGGAATTAATATTTGTTTAATATTTGCTCTGTTCCAGGCATGATTCTAGGCATTTTGCATACCTTACCTCATTTAATTATCATAATGATTCTAATAGTTGATGTTATACTTGTTCTACAGATGTGAAAACAGGGGCTCCAAGACATTACATGACTTTACCATGTTTGTATGGCTAAGAAGTGACAGAGCTGGGATTCAAACTCTGCTTGACTAATCTACCGCTGTGGTTCACACTTGTCTACTTGGGCAGTGAAGGACCTTGCAAAATTGTCTAATTAGTAAATGACAGAACCAGGGGTCAAACCCTGGTGGGTCCGATCCCAAAGCTTGGGACCTTTCCTCTTTTCTGCTGCTGGATTTTTCTCTAAAAATTATACTCTCAGGTACAGAATATCTTCTCTGTGCTAAGCACTGCAGTAAGCACTTTATGTACACTGTCTAATTAATCCCCGTGACTACTCTGCAAAGTAGATATTGTCATCCTGTTCTAACTGACTCAGAACATATACATAACATGACTAGACTAAGGTCACGTAGTTACTGAATAGAGAAGCGAGGGTTGAAAAGCAGGTGTATGTGGCTCTAAAACCAGGGTGAGATTCATGCTTTGTTTTCCCTTGCTCACTTCTTTGTTTGCCTGCATTTCTAGCATTTCTTAGCATGATTCATATCAGCAGGTGATAGCCTTACCTTGAATGGTGGTTTCTTTGTTGGTTCCTGCAAGGGGAGCTCCTCCCTGGTCTAACTGTGAATATAAGTAATTAACAAGTAATTAGCAGGTGTCAGGGGGCCCAGGAAAACAAAAGCAGAGCCCCTGGTACTAATAGTTCTCATCTTTCACAAGTTAAGGAGTTGCATTAGGAAGGTGTATGGTCATGGGGTGGGGGTGGGGGGACACAATTAAATCCATAGCAGAAGGCAAGGACCTAGAAGGAACAATGCAAGAGTGTCAACACTAGGAAGATGGAAAGGATGGAAAGCACAGGCCTGGAGCTTGGGGAGTAAGTAATCTGACAGCACCTGGAATGCAGAGGGGCCATATAAGAGCAGCTTCTCTTAGCTTATTTGTTCAAAAGACATTTAGGGAGCACTGACACATACCGAGCAAAACATTATTCCAGGAAATCGAAAGAATAAAGATGCAACCTCAACTCCCAGCATAGCAGAGGCTGAGATCATGAGCCCAAGAGGTAAACAGGCTGGGTTTGAACTGACTCTGTCTTTGCCTTGTTGTGGGCAAGTTATGCTACACCTTGTAAGTCCGTTTTCTCGCCTCATCTCTTAAACAAGGATAAGAACTGAATCGACCACCAGAGGTTACAAGGAAGATTAAATGAGTGCTTGGAGTTGTAAGCACTCAACAGATACTAGTTTTCACTCCTGAGTTCATGTAGTTTCAGAAGACTGAGTTACACCTGAAAATAGTTTAGTCACGCTAGTGATCGTGAACTAAATAATAATTATGCGACGGAACTGTTTTAAAAACTCCTTTTGTCCTTGTAGGAGCCTTATGAGGTAGGCACTACAATTCCCCTTTTAGAAGTGAGAAAATTAAGACACCAGGAGATTGAACACCTTGTAGAAAACTTGGTTGAAAGAAGAAGGCACTGGCAGAAAAATCTAGAAAAGGATCTGGCTCTCAGTGGGAGGCTGATGAAGGAAAAGAGAGTGAATGGCAACTAGACAATGAGGGTGTTCATAGCCTCTGCCCAGCGACTGAGCTGGGAGTTTGATTGGGATGAGGCAGAAGGGAGATGGGAATGGAAGTGTTCACCTTGATTCCCACCACGATCCCCTTTTCCTTGAGGATGTTTCTGAACAGCTTTCCCTGGCTGTCCTTCTGGTAGAGGGTCTCATGGAACAGGATCACACCCCCGATGCTCTGGTTGATGGAGGTGTCCACAGTGAAGAGGATTTCTCGGAACTGTCGGCGATTCTCCTCTGTGTTCTCCACCTTGATCCTTTGCAGGCGGTTTCCCATGGTGCCTAGGGTGGGCGGGCCAAAGTCAGCTTGAGGAGCCAGCCAGGGCTTTGTGGCCAGCCTCCTCCCCTCTAGGGACCCTCAGCAGGATGGTTGGCAAGACTCTCTTTTTTATGTAGATCTTTAAAACTCCTGTCTCCTTTTTCGGCTCCAGGGGAAAGACCTTGGCTGCTGCCGGGATGCTGGCTAGGAAGCGTATAGACTGGATGTGTCAAGGTCAGGGTGGAGACCACCATTGGGTCCAAGTGTGTATGTCAAGCCCTCAGGCCTCTCCAGCCACCACCACCCTGACCCAGGTCCAGCCATCAATCTCACTCGATGTATGTACAACAGAAGGAGGGATAAGGTGGGCTCTTGACTTCCCTGGCTTCTACCATTTTATGGTGAGCCAGACAGGCCTGCCACAACTCTCCCTTGTGCCATCCTGGGCTTCTTTCAGCCACGAGCCCTTCCCTATCCTAGATGTGGGCAATTCCCTGCCCTCCCTGCCCTTCCCTAGCTAACCTTACACTGATTTCTCATTAGCAGCAGAGGTCTGTGTATCTGATCTCAGTCTGGTTCCTGAGTTCTTGGCCTTTCTACAGTCTAGATTCAAATGATCCCTGGCGAGGGGCCTTGAAATGGAGGCCTTGAGCCTCTTCCCTTGGTTTTCAGAAATCTGCCTACCAGAACTACAGGACTCAAAATGTCAATGCTTGCTGGGTCTTCTGCTCCCACTCCTGTGTACCTTTACTCCTCTGAGAGGAAAAAGAGTTTAATTGTTGCTTGCCTTGGCTAAGTTGTAGAAATAAGAATACGCTTGTTGTAGGACGAGACTTGCACTCACCTACAGACTCATCTGCAGCCAGGATCCCCTTCCCATGGGCAACAATGCGCTGTGCAATTTCGGAGAGCTCCTTCTTCTGTTCTGAGGTGAGGGCTGGAAATCGGTAGGCCATGGTGACTAGTCTGGAAAAGAGTGCAGGAGTGCCCTGAACAGAACTGCAGGCAGCTCAGACAGGTTCATGACCGAGGCAGGGAAGGGGTACAAACAAACCCTCTCTAGGCTCCTCTGACACTTCCGGCCCACTTCCATAACTGGATGAACAACTGAGTTCTGGGCTCGTCCCCCTGTTAGCTTAAGTGGTTGCAATTAGCCATAGTGGATGAAGGTGGGCTGCCAGATTTCCTGGTCATCCTAAAGAGAATGTCTTCCAGGAGACCTTTGGGTTCACTGAACCAGAGACTGGGCCAGCTCATTCGTGACCCACTCACACCTGATGAATGGATGGCACTGTGATACTTGACCATCTCTCTGTGGATTTCTGGTCCCTTTGTGTGCTCTGGGTGACTTGAGGCCAGGACACTGAGACTTTTAGCCTCTAGGGTCATCTCCCATTTTGTTCTGTTAGCCTGTGTTATTCTCTGGGTAGCAAGCTTGAGAGGAGATGGCCTTGCAGTTAACCTCCCTTAGCTTTGGGACATAGAGGGTATGGTGTGTAAGGCTGGACTCTGACTATGACACCATTTGGGATAGATAGGGATTTTCCCTTAGTGCCTCTGGGCTGGAGGCGCCCACGGACTCTAAGGTGCCAAAGTCATATGGCGATCCCTGCCCCAGGAATTCTTAGCTTCATTGCTCTAGCAAGGAAGGACTCTTTTTTGAAGAACCCCATCCAAGCACCTGCCTCAGTGATGGTCCTCTGAAGGGGATCATTGTTCTTGTTGGGCTGCCACTTTGGGCCAGTCTTAAAAATGCAAACTCATGGGGCACCTTGGTGGCTCAGTGGGTTAAAGCCTCTGCCGTCGGCTCAGGTCATGATCTCAGGGTCCTGGGATCAAGCCCCGCATCCAGCTCTCTGCTCAGCGGGGGGGCCTGCTTCCCCATCTCTCTCTGCCTGCCTCTCTGCCTACTTGTGATCTCTGTCAAATAAATAAATAAAATCTTTTAAAAAAACGCAAACACACAGGGCTCACATCTTGGATGTTAGAAAGAGTAATTTTGCATATGTTGGACTATTAAAGAAAAAAAATGGTAGTAAAGACTATCTTGAGTGGTTTCCTATCCAGTCCTATGACCTACTCCTTTCCCTGGTCTTCCCCCTCTCATACACTTATCTGTAGGGTAGACATCCCATGTCTGCTTTCTACTTCCTGCAAGCCCAGGATACCTCAGTTCTCATTTGATCCACTCAGCAATGAGGTAACCAGGCCACCTAGTATCTCCATTAATTAATGAGCAAGCTGAGACTCAAAGAAGTTAACTGACTTGTCCAAAGTCTCAGCTATGGTGAGGCAGAGCTCCCCACCCAGTCCTGACCCTGATGGCAAATCAATTTCTTCACATTTTCTGCATTGCTTCAAGGCAGGCTTGATGTAAGAAGTGGATGGGGCTATGGAACTAATTCTTGAAAAAATATTGTTGGTATCACGGATGCCATTGTCACTTCAACAAGAGTCCTCATCTTAACCCAAAAGCCTGGAATTACAGTGCTATCCCTGAGGACAGGACAGGCTAGTGGCCAATGATCTCTAGAGAAGATATTCTTCCTAGGCCACTCCTGTCCCAGCCACGTGAAGATCATGTTTCCCCTTGGTTACACATGAGTTCGCAATATCATAGTCTGGGGTTACTTGCTGTAAATCTGGTCACTAGATCTTTATGTGGAAAAAACCAACCTGAAGTTGGTGACCTTCAGGCCAAAGTGCAAATTTTCTCTTTTAGTTTAGGTAATTGCATAAAAGAATTCACAAATACGAAATAAAGATGTTTCCTTAATGAAACAAAAGGAAAACATAGCCCAATGATAGCAAATCACCATTAATGCCAAGTACTCTGCTATTTGCTTTACAAGTACTATATAATTCAGTACTCATAATAACCTCAAAAGGCAGCTGGGCTTTGCCCACCACTACCACAAAACAGATAAGGAAAGAACATGAGAGAGTTTAATTATTTTTCCAAGGACAATTAACTAATAAGGCATAGAGTTGGGATAAGGGGTAATACTCCCCTCCTTCTGGGAAAGAGTGAGCCTGGTGAAAGGTATCAGTCTTTGGGTGACTCTTGATAACACCCCCAGAATACTTGTTGAGGATACCCCCAGAGTACCCAAATAATTACCAAAGTCCATGGGCTGTGGCTCATCGTCCATATACCATGGACCTCGTCAATTCATAAACATCTCACACATTCATACAGGTTTTAGCTACTAGATCAGACAGACCTGGGTTCAAGGACCAGCTCTGCTTCCTCCTCACTGAGACCATGGACAAGTCAGTAACTTCTCTGAGTCTTAGTTTACTGTGGAATAAATGGCGCTAATATCTGCTCTGGGTGTCTCATTGCCAAGTAGATCTACTGTGACCTGTGACCACCCTACTCATTGTAGTTGCTCAAAATATTTTTGTTGAGTCAATTTCATGATAAATATGAAGATGTTTTATAATGCATTATGAAAAAGTTGGGTATTGAGGCGCCTGGGTGGCTCAGTCATTAAGCATCTGCCTTCAGCTCAGTTTATAATCCCAGGGTCCTGGAATCAAGCCCTGCATCAGGTTCCCTGCTCAGTGGGAATTCTGCTTCTCCCTCTCCCACTCCCACTGCTTGTGTTCCCTCTCTCTCTATGTGTCTCTCTCTCTGTCAAATAAATAAAATCTTAAAAGAAAAGAAAATGTTGGTGTCACCATTTCTCTCTTTTAAAATTTGTTAAAAAATAATTACCTAAAATTCCATGTTTCTATTTAGTACCAAGTTATTTTTTTCCATTGAGTCAGTGTGCTGACTCGACCAGAAAAAAAAAACAGAGAAAAGGTCAAATCGAACCAATCCTGTTTACGGGAAGTTAAACTTCTACAGAGGGATTAAAGGTCTATACCACATCAGCACAAATGTTGCCCCTTTGTTAATCATAAAACAGGGTCACAGACCAATGTTCATCCCCAGGAGACAGGAGGCCAGCTGGGAGTAGGTAACTGTAGAGAATGGTTTCATGCTCCTAAAAGCCTCTGCTCACCGTGGTCTCAAGCCAATTTGATTTTAAAGTGTGATGGGAAGTTGTTCACATCATATTACTAAATAAAAAGGGGAAAAAAGCAAGTTTCAGAGAAGTATGTAATACATAATATCATACTTTTTTAATTAAAAAAAATGCTGTAACACATACTATTTGTGGATCTATATAAGCAGAGAATAACCACCCTGGGATTCCCTGTGGGGCTTGGGATGGGATGGACCAACTCTCACGTTTTACTTTATAAATTTTTTGTAATGTTAATTTCTCAAATAGGCTTATATATGACATTATGTATTATACATTAACAGGTGATACATACACAAATCTGGAAGAGGTTGTGAGTACGAAAATATGAGAATAGAAAGCAATCACAGAAAAACAGCTGCAAATGACTTCAGGGATATCTATAGCAACCCTGCCAACTTTAAAGATGGGGGAACTGAGGCTCCGAAAGACTATGTCTGGTGGCCCCTTCCAAATTGTGATGCTCTAGAATTATAAACCACATCCTACTGGCTTATGACTCAGAATCCTTTTTCCAATCCTTTTTAGCAAAACAGCACGTGAAACCTACAGTATGGTTCGTTCTGCCTTTCTTCAAGAGGTTCTGTGAAAGGAGAATGCCTTGTAAAATATGAATATTTAACTCTTGAAGAAATATCAGAAAGTAGAGAGTCCATTCACTTCTCCAACAGGCAAGGTGGGTGGGTTTTCAAGAGGACATGAGGGGCTTATGCGTTGAAAGCCTGTGATCTGCAGGCACTGTGAGCAAGGTTTTTATATACAGACGTGTGAGGATGCTCACAGCTTCATTACCCTCCTCAGTGTCACAGTGACAAAGGCAATGAGATGCCTTAGGACAGCCTGGTGCCTTTGAACCCATGCGAGGTAGCTCGGAAAGAGAACTGAGTGGCTCCCTTTCTTTCAGGATGACAACAGCTATACTGCACTTAGCACCTGGCACTCTAGCGCAGGCCTGGGTGGTGCCCAGATGCACCTTCACCTAAGGCGGCTGGAGTTTGCTCCCCCTCCAGGTCGAAACTGGCGAATGGAGCCCTGGGTAACTATTTAGAGAGAAGTTTATTTTAAAAGGCACAACATGTCTATCCGCACAACATGTCTATTTTTCAGAGAGTAGAGCAAATGTCCCAAAGGACATCAGCCTGCTTTTGACTCCAAATAACTTAAGCTGTAGGATTTCCAAAGTAGGAAATGTTACGGGAACTATCAAATGAGTGGAAGTTGGACGATTCATAATCCAGTGACTGCGGGGCTCTGTGGTCGTTCGACGCCCGTTCCGTGCGTTCTCATCTGAGCAGTGGGAGCAGGCAAGGGCAACACACACCAGGAGTCCATTTGTGTGACCAAAAAACTTAAGTGCCAACACTAGTGGGTGTAGGAAGAGAATAAAGAAAATGACATACAACAACAGGTCTGTAAATAAATCATCAAAATAAGCAGTTGTTACGGGGAGAGGAGGAATGAAGAATGATTAGAACCTAACCAAGAAAGTGTGTTGAAGTCAGAGACAGAAGAGCCTTCATACAAGTAACACCGGGAACGGTCTCAAACACTCTGCCTCCTCTCAGAGGGTCAGCAAAGCTGTGGATGAGCATTTATTTACGCTTAGGGAGGAAAACAACCATTTCAGCACACCAACACATCTTGGCCACCACCGAGTTTTTCCTGAAAATAAAAGCAAGCAGAGTTTCTCGGCTACATGTGTAGGACCATCAGTGACCCTCACTCCCTGGTGCAGTCCAGGCAGACAAAGGAAGTTCTGTTACTTACAGTTTGGGAGAGGAGAGGCCTCTTAGGGATCAGAAGCTGTGATCGAGGCAGCAGCTGCTGAATAGGACGAACCTTTGGGAACACGCAGTTTTTATAGACCTCCTGTCAGAGTTTGTTTGTTGGTTTTGGATTGCTTTTTTTTTTTTTTTTTTTTTTTTTTTTTTTTTTTTTTTTTTTTTTTTTTTTTTTTTTTTTTTTTTTTAACTTTCACCCTCCCCTTCCCACCTTGGCCTGATAGGGAGGTGTTTAACCAGTGCCTGATTGGCTCATAAACACCCAATCCCGATCATGCTCACATACTCACCGGACTCAGGGAATGTTAAAGCTATCGGGGAGCCGTGTAGTTCTTAATGCAGACAGTTTGTTTTTTCCAGGTGAGGAAACAGGCACAAAGGATTAGGGGATTCCCCTAAGTCACAGAGTTAGTAAATGACAGAGCTCTAGAGCCACCAACAGAACCTGGGAACAATGTCACCTTAGCTCTAGCACTTACTAAATGACCTTGGCCAAGCTTTGCTTTCCTTTCCTTTCCTTTTCTCTTTTCTTTCTTTCTTTCTTGCCTTCCTTCCTTCCTTCTTTTCTTTCTTCTTTTTCTTCTCTTTCTCCCTTCCTCCCTTCCAACTTCTTTGGGCCATAATATCCTCCTCTATAAAGTGGGATCTCAACTTCACAAGAGCATTGAATGAGGCTGTAGAGTGCCTGTACGCAATAGGCATGAGCTCCTTCCTTGTCCTCCAAAATCAAGCTGGGCCCTCTGATGTTTTTGATGCCAGAACACACTGTAACTACCCCATTCTCATTCTTTCTTACCCCTTACGCATTTGTCTTTAACGTTTGTAAAAAACTAGAATACAACTCAAAGTGATTGGTGTAAGCCACCATCAGCTTCCCTCGTATGGCACTGTCTGGGTAAGGGTTCATTTTACAGGGATTTTTTTTTTTTTTTTCCTGAGTACTAAACTACTATCTAATTCAAAAGAAAGCAAATAAAATTGTCTTCCTGAGGCAAATAAAAGTTCTGGGGAAATCTAAAAATAATGAATGACCATGATGACAGGAAAGCATAGAATTCTCAGGAATATATTCCTTCGAAATAACTCATAAAATGGAAGGGGGAGAAAAACCCTAAAAACCAAAGTGCTCAATGGTATAGGGTGTGATGCTCTAGTAAGTGAACTGTCAATGGAATGAAGGAAAAAGAAGCTGAGAATTAGGTTGTCTTCATAGAGTTTAGGCTCAGACAGCTTCTAAAAGTGGGAGAGCATTAGACATTGAACATGAGAATTAAAGGAAATTGAAATGTTTGAAACACAAAACTGAGGTTCATTGGGCTGGGAAGTTTTGGCCAAGGCCTGTCCTAAGGAGAGCAAAGGGCCAGGCCAAGTAAAGGTCATCAGCATTCTTGACTCCACGTGCCCCCTGAAGGCACACTTTCTGGTTTCCCAATCTCCACCTGATGCTCATGCAAGCCCCTGCTGCCTGATTCATAAGACCAAGGTGACCTCATCTGGGGATATGTCAGTCTCATCAGATTTGATTTTTGCCAAAGGAGAATGGAGGAAGAAAATGGAGGATAGCGATGATAGAACAGAGAGCAGGGTTAGTGACAGCTGTCGTGGGGGTCAGGGCTGGAGTGTCAGAATCGTGATTAAAACACGCCACCTACCAAGAGGTGCAGGGTAGAAATAATTTAACTTAAGCCACCCGCATGAATTATTCTTGTTATAACAATGACAACAATAGTAGTAATAACTATTTTTTTAAGGTATTAGGATGCATCTGGTTCTTTTTATACATGATCTGCTGTCTCAGCACTCGTGTAAGGAGAGGTTTCTTACTCCTATTTTCTGGATAGGGAAACTCTCATTCAGAGAGGGTAGTAACTTGCCTAGAATCACAGGACAGCTACATGGGGACTCCTGTTTCCTCCAAGCCAGCGATCTAAAGCAAAGCTCCTTACCTTTTGGCAACCACAGACAGCATAGATGACCCCTTTCCCTCTCCCCCTCCCAGCGGTTTATAACCTTGGACATTAAACCTGCATTCATCAGAGAAAAATGCCTTGCGTCGACAGACCCGGGTGGCCCTGCTCCGGCTGGGCATCATTTCACGTGGACAACAGCCTGGCCAGGCGTGGCAGAGGAGCGTGAACACATTCACCCCTGATGGGTGCCACCTGCTGCTGCTTCGGTGGCATCAGCATTTGGCCGCCTCCGGGCTTGGATGCCCAACTGAAACTCAAAGTTCAGGAAAGCAAGGGCAAGGCTTCCTGGAGCTTAGAGGGACAGCAGGGCCTGAGCAACACAGATGGCCTGCAAGGTTGTTTTGTTTTGTTTTTTAAGTCTCTTAACTTAGTGAATTGCTCAAAACTGAGATAGGACATGATATGTGGAAAGAGCGTGGGACTCGGGGGCTGTGAAACCCTGGAGAAGCCTCCAACCTCTCCGATCCTCATTGTTGCCATTGTAAAATGGGTTGGTGATGCCTCCACCCAAAACTGCTTCGGAGGCAGGAATGAAATGACATCTGGTGGGGGGTGTAGCACAGAGGACATTTTTATTAAATGGTTTGATCTGAATGCGTGCTTCTGGCTTAAAGGTTTCCAAGTGCAGACTCTCCTACAGGCAAAAATCAGATGTAATCCATGAGCATTTCTGTCACTACCTCCAATAACTGCCATGTTTATTGTCCAGTCCCCCCTCCCCCGCCACCCCAGAAAGTTCTGATTTGAGTATGATGGACTACGAATTCAACCTATTCATGAGCACTATGAGGTCTGAGTCCCCAGACAGACTTGTAACACGTAAGTAAATCTCCTGGATCACAGAGTTACACTCAGTAGAATGTTAGTAATATTATAGGGGGAGAACTTTCATAAAAAGGGGCCACATCTACATGATGCAAGGAAGACCCATGATTGGGTCAATAAGGCATTTTACTATCTCTTTTCCAACCTGTGGTGCAGATGTTTCCTTACTGTCTTGAGATCTGCTGTGGGAGTTGGGATGGTGTGAGCAACCTGAAAGCAGCAGTCATTGTTTTGGTCCCAGGGATGGAGCTAGTGTTATTTCAGCATGGTTCCCAAAGTGTGTATTGAGGTTCTCTGTACAAGGCATTTGGTTAGCTCCAGAGGCATTTTGCAGAGAGGATACTTTTGTAGAGAATACACGACGAGGAAGTCAGGCCTGTTGTCAAGACACTTCTAATCTAAGAAGTGGGAAGAGAAAGTTGAGGTGATAATCAAATAAAATCAAACCAAATAAGAGAATGCATGTTAAAAAAAAGTACCAAGTTGTGGTGGTGGTGATTTGTTACTGCGGGTTCAATGAAGGCTCCATGAAGTAACATGAAAGAAAAGTCTAGATATTCCAGACTGCCACATGGCTAAGCCGCACTCCATACCATCTGATCCAGTGCGTCAGACTAGAAGACCTATGTGCAGAAGGACAGTGAGAATGTAAAATGACCTAAATTCTAGGGCTTAGAAATACCATCCCCTTGAGACTAGAAACAGCTAAAGCTTGAATGTGATAAAGAACAAGGTTTGTCTTGTCTGAGGAAACATATGGGCAGTTAGGACGCTGGAGAGATGGAGTCAGAAAGGACGGGGCTGCAGAATTTCAGGATTAGGGTGACCAGTAGTTATCTGACAGGAAAGAGTTACACTGGGGTCAGCCGTGACCACCAGCCCCCATTGTCCCATATTCCATCCTAATGAGTTGTTTACTGCCTTGTCAGTGTTCTCTCTTTGCCTTTTGCTCAATCATATCAAAGTCCAATTCTTCCCTATCTAATCAGGACTGTCAGTTACTTATGTCATTTATGACCCCCCACATGTATTTTTTTCACTATTCCTTATCTCTTTGGTGGAACTGTCTGGCCTTTAGGATGGGAAGGCATTGTGCACCAGTAGAAAGAGGTAGAGATAGGGAGGCAGAAGATGTGGGTGGTGGTCTAGTTCTGCCCCAGGCTAGCCAGGGGACTGAAGGAAACCATGTTCTCTTGGCCTCCCATTCCTGACGTGCAAAGTGGGCCTAGGAATACCACCCCTGTATAACGTTTCCATGTGGTCCCTGAGTGAGCGATAGCATCTAAGTGAGTGCTTTGAAAATGATAAAGCCCTACCTAATTACAGGATGACTAGACCGAGCTACTCCAGGGAAGCAAACGTTACCAGTGCTCCTGTGATATATGTGTACATATGTACACACACACACACACACACACACACACACACAAGAGAATCAGAAAACAAGGTTCTGGCCCTAGTTCTATGCTGAACAATGCAACGTATTGCCCAAGGGAAGGCAGTACCATTTGTTGACCACTTACTCCTCCCAGGACTTTTTCTGGGCACTTCACATAGAATACATCATTTAGCTGGGTAGGCATTGTTTTGGGGAGGAAGGAGTTGATCCTGTCTCTGGCTCAAGGTCACATCATTAGTAAGTATTGGGGAAAGGACTTAAATATCGATCCGTGATTTTAAAACCATCTTAGGGCCTTGGACTCATCATCTTTGCAGTGAAGGAGAGATCGCTTCCAGCAGCAATATTCTGTGGTCTTCTCCACTGAAATTGCATGTTTTTAACACACATGGTTGTCCTAAAAAAAGTAAATGATTTTAAATAATAGTAAAAGAAACTTAGATTAGACTGTAAAATGTTTTCTTTTGGGAGGTATTGTTAAAATAGATTATTTATTAACTAGAAATCTTCAAAATACTGGGGCACCTGGGTGACTCAGTTGGTTGGGCATCTGACTCTTGATTTCAGCTCAAGTCGTGATCTCAGGGTCCTGGGATTGAGCTGGCATCAGGCATCAGGCTCTGTGCTCAGCAGGGAGTCTGCTTGAAGGAGTCTCTCTCCCTCTGTCCTTCCCCCAGCTCGCGCTCCTGCTCTCAATCTCTTTCTCTAAAATAAAGAAATAATGCTTGGGGGGAGGGGGAAAGAAATCTTCAAAATACTGGTGTGTATGAAAGAATGTGGGTAGTTCTAACTCCCTGTCTCATATTCCCCTTCCCTTTGGGTTGCTCCATCCCACAGGAATGAAGAGTGCCAGGCTTACCAGAACCTGGAAAGCTGGATGAAGGCCCAGACTCTGAGAGGCAGCTAG